CCCCGGCCCGGCCGGTCCACTCTCCCCTACTCTCCCCTCCCCCGCCGGCGCCGTCTCCCGTCACCGTCGCCGGGTCGCCGGTCGCCGTCAGTCGCAGTCGTGCTGTGTCTGCGGAGCAGGGCAGTCGTCACTTGCCTGCGGACTCGTCGCGCCCCCGCCTGTCACACGCCTCGCCGCTGCCGTCGGGAGACTCTACCTGTCGTAAGTGAGCTTCATCAGTGTTCTGTTGTACAGCGACGTATGCTACAAAATGGGTGGCGTTCATCCCACAACGAGCCAGAACCTAAAGAAGTAGAGTACATCACGTCCGCCGGTGCTGTTTCCTTTCCGATCCCTGAGCGGTTAACGGTGACGTTTATGTAACGATCGGCTAATGAGAAGGCAGGAGGAAACAGATCCGGTTGTCTTGCTTTTCGTCTTTGGGTTCCGGCTTCGTTCCAGCGGAACATACCATCGTTCGTCCGCATGACCGTACTGGAACCAAAAGACCAAGCAGTCACGCGTTCTCTACTGCCTGGCTTATCCTCATTGGCATCTTGGCTCTGCTGCGCTGGCAACTCTAACTCTACCTCCGCTTTGATAGGGTTGTTTCATACTAGTACCGTCAGGAAGTCGAAAATATGTCAAGGGACGCTAGGAAAATCGCCAACTAAGTCGGTGAAACATAGACCTTTTTGACAGCGGTTGAGGTTAGATACAATAGAAGATAGACTCTTTCGAAATTGGCGAAGTGAAGAACAAGGTGAAGAACAACAGGCAGGATACAGTTGTTTAATAACCCAAACGTTTATGAAAACTTGCAGAAAATGTAAACAATATCTAAATGATACGACCTACATTTTATTCAAGTGTTTTGGGCACGTTTGAGTGATTAAAAGCTACTGTTTCCGGTCTATTGTTCTTTACAATTTTCTTCACTTGGCCAATAGGGTATAGACCATTTCACCCCAGCGCTTTTCGACCTCTCGAAGAACAAAAATACCGGAAGTCGTGAAGTATATGGAACGTTCCTAGCCGTTAAACACGTTAGATTGAAGCGGTGTGTGCTGTAATAATATATTTTTGACTAAATTTAGGACTGAGAAGAGTAGATTGTCGGTTGCATTGACGACAAAACCTCTATTTCGTGAGACACTTTACCCTGACTTCCGGTATTTATGTTCTTCGAGAGGTCGAAAAGCGCTCGGGTGAAATGGTCTGTTTCACCTAACGCAAGCCGGATCCAAAGAAGAACAAGAGTTCTTCCTGAACTCTTTCCTCCCTTGCTCTGATAGGGTATTCAATGGAGCGCTGCCCGGAACTAAGAACAAAACCGGATACAGAGAGCGGCGGTGGGGGCGGGCGAGCGGATGAGCGGCGGGGGGGCGGGGAGGCTCCCCCCCCCGCGCCCGCCCCCACCACCGCTCTCTGTATCCGGTTTCGTTCTTCTTAGTTCCGGACAGCGCTCCATTGAAATACCCTTTTGAAAACTGATTTAAAACCAACTTAGTCAAAAAGTTAGATTTTCAATTCCTACCCTTAAACTGAGTAGATGTACTCCAGACCACGTCTCGCGCAACAGGCTTCGCGATACCTCACGAAACACTGTGACGCTGCGACGCGCCTGGCATACATCCACCTAGGCCTGCGGCGTTGACACCCGAGTCGGGCTAAGGGCACTGTCGTAAATAGGCCTTCGGCCCCAAAAATGTCACCAATTTTGTTTCAGTTTGATTAGTTATATCGTGGATTGACGCCAAATCGGGCCTGGAAATTGCAATCTTGATTGTATCAGCACGTATGAAAGCTGGTTTAAATCGCTTTTTTGTGCTCTTTCATTAAAAATTATCTCCGGGTTTGTCCGACCTAATACAAAAAAGTTAGCAAAACCAAATTTTGCCAAAATTTGATTAAATTTGCTGAAAAGCACAAATGTTAACTTTTTTGTCTTAAGTCGGTCCGGTCCAACCCGGATTTTTTTTTTAATGAAAGAGCATATAAACGTGTTTAAAACAAGATTTCGTACGTGTTGATACCATTAAAATTGCGATCGGTAGGCGCAATTTTAGAAATAGTAGCACCGAAGAGTACTCGCTTTTTCTATATTTCAAGGACAAATTTGCCTGTTTCTCGAAAACAGCTGCAGTTGGAGCAAACTCCAAGCCGAAAGGTTTATTAAAATAATGTGTTTCGTATGAAAATATTTTTTTCCCATTTTTTTTTTGAAAATCTCAGGGGGGCTGCACCTTGGCCCCTGGGGCGGGGCCAAAAAGTGTGTGTAGGGGGGGGGGGTCAAAACTTGACCAGCCCCCAAAATTTAAAGAATTTGAATAGAAAGTGACCGTTTGAGACCAGGTCCGCATCAAATATCTAAATTTGGTGATAAGTGGGACGCCATACCATGCCATTTATCGGCATTTTACCATGTGTCTCCAGGTGCACCATGCATGTCTCCAGGTGCCCCACTATGGGGTACTTGGAGACAGTCTGCATCGATGGGTTTACAGGCCTGTAACCTAAGAACGGGTTGGGATAGAAAAGTTTTCATGGGCGGGTTTTGTAGGTCAAGAATACAGTTTGGTTTCCCTAAACTCTCGACTTCGTGGGTGGATCCATCTTTGTGCTATAGACGTGAAAAACAAATCCGTCTCCAGGTGCCCCACCCTCCTACTGTTTCCGGTGCTTCTTGATTCTTTTCTTTCTTCTTCCACAGCCGGTGGAATGGTCTATTCATTACGTTTGTACAATATTTTGGCATCATAAGACCTCTGGAGCCGGTTTTAGGTGACTTCCGGTGCATTTGTTTTTCGAGACTATCGCGATTAATGTTACAGCGGAATAGCTAGCTCAAACCGTTTTTGAGTTATCGTCTTTCCACCTTCCGTTTTTGTTAGACTACCGCTCAGCGCTTTAGACCAACAGCCCCCGGTTTTCACCACAAGCGGATCGTTGTGGCGCTGTCCACGCCAACTCGGCAACAAGTGACCCCAAGGACTTTTGTCGATATCTCAGCTAACAGCGAGTTAAAGTTCTAGCCCCCCCCCCCTCCACATCACGATTTCCGCGCGTGCGCTGGACTAGGCGCATGCTTACAGCGCAATAAACTTTTGCCAGTGGGTAGCACTACACAAGACCCTTCGAGGACGGAGGGGTGCAAACAAAAATATTTGCCGGCTTAATATATTAGATACTGTATGTCGAAACCAACACGTCAGCTCAATAGGGTATTTCAATGGAGCGCTGCCCGGAACTAAGAACAACAAAACCGGATACAGAGAGCGGTGGTGGGGGCGGGCGCCGAGGGGTGGACGACTGGGCGGCTCCTGTGTACAGGCCAAAATGTACTCCAGGTGTTCTCCGATTGTACTCCG